TATCTCTTTGGATTTGAGACTTTAGTCTTTGCAACTTTACAGATCTTCTTTATGCACCAAGAGCTTGTAACACTCCGAAGAGAAAGGAAAAATTGAAATCGCATCATATGACCCCTTTAAAACTCAGCTGATTTCTGATCAGCTGTTAAACATCAGAGTAGATGGGTACTGTAGGCTAAGGCTGATCTCAAAGCAGTGTTTCTGCTTTTAAAAGCATATCAGTTCAAGAAGCATGTGATGTGAAAGTCTCTATGAGATGCCTTGGGCGCAGGATGGAGACCAAAGAGCCCTTGATCTTTGTGCTGAGAATATGTAAGAGCCAACTCACATGGGTTCACATGACAGCGGGCCCCTCGATGAGAGCAGCTGACTCAGATTAGGGCCTGAAGCAGACTCGTACAGACTTTATGGTCAGTTGGGATTGCTGTTATTAATTTCTTTTTCTTATCAAAAACCCTGCAAAACTCCAAGAGTTTGATTAATTTTAGATGTATTTAAAAAAAAAAACATGTTGTGTATGTGTAGATGGTAGAACAGTTGAAGTGAATCTCACAATCTATTGATTGAACTGTACCGCACAGTCCCGTTTATTTTCACAGAATAGTTAAAAATGCAGTCTAACCTGACTAACAAATTCTACCAAAATAATAGAAAAAATATTCAGCCTACACAGTCACTCCTCGTGATTGCTGGATAACAGCAGGGAAAGCACAATATTAGTGATACAACCGAGAGATTGTTGTTACATTCCTTATCTCTTCCTCTTTACTACTAGTTGTAGCATGAAATAAACATGAATAAACATCATAAGGTATGTTGAAAGAAACAGTTCAACTTTGTATGCATTACACAAGGCATATTTGTACATTCAAAACTATGAAGAGTACAGAATTACATTTACAACGGGCTTCTCATCTAATTCGAATAACTTCAGGTTTAAGCCTAGCCCACTTCCAGTTTTAGCTGAATACAGATAAAAATAAGTTTGAGGTTGATACAGATAACAGTGATTATGATTCATAATGGCTTGTACCAATAATTAATTCATAAATATCATTAGGCCTACACTTATGCACAACATGATATTTTACAACCTGATCTAACCAATTCACCTTGTCTGCATGTTGGTTTCACTACATGATTTTAATTTGGCACACAAAAGTTTTTCAAATGTTAGCCTAATAATCAAAGCAGTGAAGCAATTTTGTTAAAATATTTTGAAAGAACTAATATAAAAGATTATGCCATACTACTAGAATTTCATTCTTTTAATGATGCTTTTTATTTTATCATGTTGTCAAGTCAGATGCATCACCTTGACTTTTCTCCAAAAATACTAAAAAAAATTTGTTTCAGTTTTGTTTTCAGTTGTTGAACTCCCTAATGCTAAAAATGAAGGGTTCAACCAAAGCAAACACCACTACCTAAATGCTGTATGCATTACATTTTTATTGTGAGGTAGAAGCATTTTAAACCCCTGCTATAACTGTAATTGCATTCCTCTCTTGAGAAAATGAAGCTTGAATGTTAGTGATCATAATTCATCATGTGGCGTGTCTCTCTGGAAATATTATAATGAAATCTGCAGTGTCATTGAACATCATGTTTATTCTCTCATCTCATCACAATTGAATGAGTAAGGTAAGCTGCGAGAGGCCAGGATCTTCCCGCATCCTCTGCGTTTGAGACTTTAGTCTTTGCAACTTTACAGATCTTCTTTATGCACCAAGAGCTTGTAACACTCCGAAGAGAAAGGAAAAATTGAAATCGCATCATATGACCCCTTTAAAACTCAGCTGATTTCTGATCAGCTGTTAAACATCAGAGTAGATGGGTACTGTAGGCTAAGGCTGATCTCAAAGCAGTGTTTCTGCTTTTAAAAGCATATCAGTTCAAGAAGCATGTGATGTGAAAGTCTCTATGAGATGCCTTGGGCGCAGGATGGAGACCAAAGAGCCCTTGATCTTTGTGCTGAGAATATGTAAGAGCCAACTCACATGGGTTCACATGACAGTGGGCCCCTCGATGAGAGCAGCTGACTCAGATTAGGGCCTGAAGCAAACGCGTGTGTCCACTTCTCTGTAAAGGCTTTATGGTTAGTTGGTATTGCCGTTATCAATTTCTCTTTCTTATAAAAAAAAAAAGTTTAATTAATATTAGATGTGTTTAACAAATGTGTTGTATGTGTAGATGGCAGAATAGTTGAGCTGAATATTACAATGTATTGATCAGACTGTACTATCTGTCTCGCACAGATTATTTTCACAAAATAATTAAAAGTGGAGTCTAACCTGACTAGTATTGTGTAACATGGGTGAAAATATAATCTCTTGTAATCATTCAATACAATTGATTCTTTACTAAATGAAACTGTGAAATATGAAATCTGGCCACAATTTGGTTAATAATTTGTAGGGATGTGCCCAAAGCCAAATACCTTTTGAATTGAATTCAGAAAGGCACTGATAACGCTTCAAAGTTAATAACGAAATCTACCTAATAGGGAAAATATTCGGCCTAGACAGTCACTCCTTGTGTTTGCTGGATAGCAGATGAGCCAGGGATAGCACAATATTAGTGATGCAACTGACAGATTGCTGTAGACGCATCATCTCTTCTTTTTTACTACTAGTTGTAGCACAAAATAAACATGAATGAACATCAGAAGCTATGTTGAAAGAGTCAACTTACTTTGTATGAGTTAGCATATTTGTATTAAAAACTATGAACAGTACAGAATTACATTTAAAACGGCTTCTCATCTAATTTGAATATCTTCCGTTTTTAAGCCTAGCCCACTTCCAGTTTTAGCCGAATGCAGATACAAATAATTTTGAGGTTGATACAGATTGATTCATAATAACTTTCATAAATATGCTGAAGAATGTATACACATGTACCTGCAATTCCAAGAATTTGTACATCTAAAAATGAGCC